AAGGCGACGGGAGCGGTCAGGCTGCCAAACCGGCCGCATGCAGCCGCCTGGCTCCTCTTTTCCCGTTCTCCGTTGGAAGACCCCAGCAAGATCTGCCGGTTTGAAGCCCGGGCTGCCGTGCTCTCCGTGACGTGAGGACACGCTTTGCCCGCTCTGTGCAGCGGAATCGCTCCCGGTGCGGGTGATTCCTGTGATTCCCGTGAGCGGCAGCCCGGTCCCAGCAGGGAGAGGCGGTTGCAGGGAGCCCCGGTGCTGGGGCTGGGCCTGCTCCAGCCCTGGCAGAGGAGCAGGGCAGGGACAGAGCAGAAGTAGAGGCAGATGGGATATGATCTGGTGCTGTAACTAGTGAATCAAAGGTTCTGTGTGCCAGTGAAGCAGGATGGAGAACTACTGGTACACCTGCACTTAGGTTGCCTTTTCCTGCTTTCATTGAAACACTTGGGTTGTATGAATTTTGCTTGTTTCTGATAATTGGTGCACCAAAACTTAGTTGCTTTGCAGACACTGAAAAGTGAGCTCCGCTGAGCTGCTCCTGTCAGTTACAAGCAAGTGGTGGAGGGCAGAGATGAGTGGTCTGTTGACTTTTCTGTCTAACCTTCACTATTTCTATGTAGGATGGTGAGGATTGTCCTGTGCCATTCAGCTACTACTGCCATTGCTCAGCCTGTGTGAGTGCCATCTGGAATGGAGAGCCATTTGGGCACAATGGATACAGAGGGTGTCACGTTTAAATATTATTACTGTTTGTTGGGTGTTTTTCACCTCCATGAAAGTGGGCACCCCTGTCACACAAGGTGCACTGATTGCTGTAGGTCAGCTTCCCTTCACAGACCTCTCATGTGTGACTTGAAGGACAATGTCCTTGTAGACTTGAACAATTTATTTTTGAGCTAAGGAGAAAAAAGGGTCTTTTTTTGAGTATACTGCGACATGTTTTTCCTTTGGGGAAAGCCTGTGGTGTCTCCTCTGAACAGCAGGCTGTTCCAGTAATCCTGCTTCAGCCAGCAGTGCCAGGCACAGCAGAGGAGACTTTACCCCTTTGAGCTTTCAGCTGCTTTTCCATCAATGGCTTTTTATTGCACCATTGTTACGCTTTACTCTGGGCTCCCCTCTGTGTAGACAGGCATGTAATGTCTACAGCAGAAATATGTGGCTGACTGGGAGGAAATGACCTAGGGATAGTGTTTCTGGCCTGTACTGCTGTTGGGCAAATTAAAACCTTTTTTTTCTTTCTTCCCCCAAGCCTCAGTTTAGGTGCTGTGCCCTAAAGGGCAAAATGTGCTGATGGCAATTATAAAATAGCCATGTGCCAAACAGGCTTGAGTCACATCTTAATGCACAGTGCTCATCTCTGGGTGAGCTGCCTGTCAGTGCTTCATGAAATCAAGTTCACTTCTACACCTATGTCAGCAGACCTCTGATATGCAGGTGACAGATCTCCCTCTCCCATTACCTTCTTGGCTATTAAAGACCTTTCTTTATATGCAGGCTTTCCTGTAAGAGGAGCTGACTTCTGTGGAGTCCTGGGTTTGCTGTCATTGTCATCTGTAACTGGCCAGAAATATTTGTGTGGAAGGACAGGTTAAACTTTTTATCCTCTGTATTTCTGGTGATTAGAGTCTTTAGCCTTTGCACCTGGATTTGAGTGGTAAAGAGAAGCAGAAGATTGCCTGAATAGCTGTGTGTGAAACAGGAGCCTTAAGAAGTGGCATTAATTTCCCCTAGCTCGTTTGCATTGGCTCTATCTTTGGCAACGTGCACTGGGTTAGTTCTTGCTTTGTCTTGGCCAATGCAGTGTCTGTTCCCATGGAAATGGGGGTGGAAGTGGCAAGTGTCAGCAAAGAACTTTGCCTGGATTGACTTCTCCGGACTGCAGTGCCAGTGGGAAGATGCTGTCCACAGTCTTCCCTCCTGCTCCAGCCTAGCTGGAGAGTAACTTGGTTCAGAGCTCTGGAGGCATCAGTTTGCATTTGTACAGTAAACGTGATGCAATAAAATGTCAAGTCAAGATCTTCTGAGGGGCTGCTGTAGAGGTAGTGAAACAATGACTGAGAAGAGGCAAAATTTTATGATTTCTGTTTTTTTCTCAGGTGTTGTCCTGTTGGGGAATGTTGTTTGGGCCCTTCCCAGGGGGCTGTTCAGATGCCTGCAAACAGTGCCCATTTCAGCTGGGTGATTGTGAGAACAGCAGCTGATGGAGCTGCTGATGCTCTTGAGACCCTTGTGTATCTTTCTTGCTTCCTTCTTCCTGTCTTCAAGCTAGCAGGTATTGTGTGGCTGTGGTGAGAAGAAAGGGTTTTGTAATATGTCAAATGCTTTTCATCTTTCTGCCATTCCCCAGGTTTTCATTTGAGGAGGGTGAGTCTCTATAGCCCGATGCCATCAATGGCAAAGTTCAAATCTGTTGAATGAATGAGTCAAGTCAGTCCCACACTGTTTGGTTTTGTACTTGGAGAGTTAGTAATTTGAAAATGTTGTAAAAATTTTCTTAGTGTTTTCCATCTTTGAAGCAGGAGTTAACGGCCAAACCCTTTGGCTCTGTGCCCTATTTGTGAAACAGACTCTTCTTTCTGAAACCATGCAAGTGAGTTTACTGTGTCTTAGACTGCATCAGATGCAGACCCGGTTTTCTACAGGGCTTGGGTTCTGGGGCTTTGGCTGCCTCTGCTTCTGCTCCAGTAGTGCCTCCTTCTGGTCAGAGCAAGGAAAGGAGTCAGGTCTGACCAGGGCCTAAATGCCACTTAGGGAGTTAAGCACCTGAAGCGTCTCTTCCTTGTGCCTCAGAAATTAACCCTTCCTCTCACTGCTTTCTGCTTGGAACCCAGCTTCTGACTACGGTATGAAGCTGCCAATCTTGCGGTCCAACGCGGAGGATCAGATTCTGTACCAGACTGAGCGCTACAACGAGGAAACCTTTGGCTATGAAGTTCCCATCAAAGAGGAGGGTGACTATGTGCTGGTGTTGAAGTTTGCAGAGGTCTATTTTGCACAGTCACAACAGAAGGTAAGCAGCAACTCCTTGCTTGTCTCTTTGATGCAAGTTCCTGGCTAAGCCTGTGCATGTCCAGGTTGCCTCTGCTGCTTTGCATGCTGGAGAAAGGAGTGAAGCAGGGCACTAGTGCTTAATTTTGTTCCTGGAGCTCTCATGGTCTCTGAAACTTCGAGCTCTCTTCCAGATACACAGTTGGCCTGGAAAATTGCATTACGAAGTATTCAAGCAAATGTGCAACTAAACATAACTAGCACTAGAGTTTTATGATCTGTTTAGGCTGGGCTGGCTTTGAGAAGTGGTTTTGTCTTTTTCGTGAATGCTTGTTCCCTGTCTCACAGCAGGCTTGTGCTGGAGGAAGTGTTGTACAGATTGAATCATGGAAGTGATCTGGGTTAAGTAACCTACTCAAAACAATTTTTACAAATGTAATAAGACTTGATACTGGTTCAGACTGATCCTAAAAGCACAGAGTTAAATTCAGCCCTATTTACTGCTCTTTAGAGAAGAATAATCCTTGTCCACTTCTGAAATCCCTTGTGTACAGATGTGGAAGCAAAATCACAAATAACTCAAAGCCGTGTGATAAACTGGGGGAGAAGTGTTTTAGTCTGGCTTTCCTCTGATTCCATCGACTTCTTTAGAGCCCTGCTCCTTAAGCACTGTGCTGCCTTCCTGCCAGTGAGGTATTTCAGGGAGTAGAACTGGTGGAGCTGGCTTACGGAATGGATGCAAAAAGCAGCCTCAGATTAAACTGGAGGGCTGAGGCATCCTTGGTTCCTCTTCTTTCATGTGGTTCTGCTGGGATTCCCCAGGTGCTGAGTGAAGTTTGAGTCATTACAGCCTGAGGAGGACTTTCACTCTGAATTCACAGATGTGGTTAGCAGTTCAACATTTTACCTCCTTCAAACCCTGTGTACTTCACCAGCTTGTTTCCTCTTCTCTGCTGCAGGCTCTTAGTTAGAAATGGCTGAACTCCCTAGGGTGTGGTGTGCCACAGCCATCCTGGGGTGGCAGGAGGAGTTCTTCAGCCAGCAGGTGGAAGAAAGCTGTGAAAGAAAAGTACGAGTAAACCAGAATAAAATTGTGCTGTCCTCAGTTCTGAACAATAAATGTAGAGGTTATTTTAAAAGTTGAAGTCAGATGTCAGGGTATTTGAAAGTAATAGTAATGCTTCAGTGTCTTTACTTGGCTGCTTTTGGGCTTTGAATCCTTCCCAAGGGAGTGCAGTGTGTGTGGTGGGACAGTGCCTGCTGCAATGCTTTCTGGTCCTGGGTTCATAACAGAGACCTTTCCTGTTCTGTTCCCCTTTCAACTGTCACATGCCTGTATCTGTTCTGACACTCTGACATTTCTTCCACCCTCAAGGTGTTTGATGTTCGCTTGAATGGCCACGTGGTGGTGAAGGACTTGGACATTTTTGACAGAGTTGGACACAGCACAGCTCATGATGAAATCATTCCCATGAGTATCAAAAAGGGGAAGCTGAGTGTCCAGGGAGAGGTCTCCACATTCACAGGGAAGCTCCACATTGAGTTTGTAAAGGTAGTACACTTCTTCCCCTTCTTCCCCAGCCATGTGATGCAGCTGTGTGCGAGGAGAGGAGAGGGAAATATTTCTTGCCTCAGAGCTGCAGCACTGACTTCCTTCTTTGCTTTCTCTAGGGCTACTATGACAATCCAAAAATCTGTGCCCTATACATCTTGCAAGGAACAGTGGAAGGTAAGCACAGTTTTTGAGCCAGAAGGCTCTTCCCCCTTGGAGAGCAGCCTGTTGCTTCTCAGACCATGAGATCATAGCTTTTTGCTGACCCACCTCTGCCAAAACTGCTTCTCTCTCAGCAAGTTCCCACAGAGTGAAGTAGGTGTGTAGTGTCCTCCTACTCGTCCAAGTGCACAAAGTTGCATCATTTTTGGAATAAGAAAAATCAGTTTGATTCAGGACTTCCTGCATACGGGTAGAGAAGAAGGGAACACGTCTGGTCCATTTTAGCTTGTAGCTACAGCTACAAGCTATAGATAAATTCCCTCTGGCCTTGGATGTGAGCAGCAGCCCTAGAGACAAGTACTTTACAGAGATCTTTTAGCTAGTAGTTAAGTGTTTGTTACCTGGAGCTTTGTTTTGCCTCCTCAGCTTGAGGACAAGGTAGTTCCTTTGGATAGCAGTGGGGAGTGCTAGTAAAGTCCTTGCTTTTTCATCTCCCTGTGTGCTGGAGTTGGAGCCCCTCTAGCTCCTGAACAAGGGAGGTTCAAGGCCCCTCTCTGACCAAAGCATCAATTTGCTTTATTTCTGGCCAGGCTGCTCCTGTTTCCTGAGGTGCTCTGGCCATGGTGTTGATCTGGTGTCAGGTGCCCTGGTGCACATGTCAGACCTGGGAGAGAGGGATGGACTGGCTTGGGTGATTACCCAGGTTACATCCTGCTTCCTTGGAACCTTTTGTCTCGTTCAACAGATGTTCCAAAGCTGCAGCCGCACCCGGGTCTGGAGAAAAAAGAGGAAGATGATGATGAAGATGAATATGATGATGGCTCCAGTGTTAAAAAACAGGCAAATAAGAACCGGGTTCAGTCAGGCCCACGCACACCAAACCCCTATGCCTCGGACAACAGCAGCCTCATGTTTCCTATATTGGTGGCCTTTGGTGTCTTCATTCCTACCCTCTTCTGCCTCTGCCGATTGTGAGAGGAAGCCCCACAGAGCATCAGCCAAGGGGCTGGGAGGGAAGGAGTTGGACCAAACACAGTTGCTTTCAATTTCTCCATTATGTTCATAATTTAAGGAAAAAAAAAAAAAAAAATAAAAAAAAAAAGATGATTCATTTGGAATGAATAGCAGGTCCAGGTAAGAGGGAGCTTAACTTCCCCCTGCCAGCAAGCAGCGAGGCCCTCGCCTTCCCCTTCGCACCATGGGCTGCTCCTGTTTCCTGGGGTGCTCTGGCCATGGTGTTGATCTGGTGTCAGGTGCCCTGGTGCACATGTCAGACCTGGGAGAGAGGGATGGACTGGCTTGGGTGATTACCCAGGTTACATCCTGCTTCCTTGGAACCTTTTGTCTCGTTCAACAGATGTTCCAAAGCTGCAGCCGCACCCGGGTCTGGAGAAAAAAGAGGAAGATGATGATGAAGATGAATATGATGATGGCTCCAGTGTTAAAAAACAGGCAAATAAGAACCGGGTTCAGTCAGGCCCACGCACACCAAACCCCTATGCCTCGGACAACAGCAGCCTCATGTTTCCTATATTGGTGGCCTTTGGTGTCTTCATTCCTACCCTCTTCTGCCTCTGCCGATTGTGAGAGGAAGCCCCACAGAGCATCAGCCAAGGGGCTGGGAGGGAAGGAGTTGGACCAAACACAGTTGCTTTCAATTTCTCCATTATGTTCATAATTTAAGGAAAAAAAAAAAAAAAAGATAAAAAAAAAAAAAGATGATTCATTTGGAATGAATAGCAGGTCCAGGTAAGAGGGAGCTTAACTTCCCCCTGCCAGCAAGCAGCGAGGCCCTCGCCTTCCCCTTCGCACCATGTGCAGCCTCCAGTCCTCCCTGGGGCATCCAAGAGTAAACTGAGTCCTGGCTCTCAGTGTATGGGGCTGTCGGAAGCTGATGTTAGCAGTCCTGGGCCATATCCCACACTGAGAGAAAGTCATGTGCTGCAAGATCTCTGCCTTTGCTGGATGGAATACAGTTCCTTAAGCAGGGAACCAGCTCCTAAAAACAGGCCTGGGTACACATTTTGTCCAGGAGCTTGGAGGTGTTGTGGTGCCACTGGGTGACTAATGACTATGGAGGATGGAGCCTGACTCTGCGTCTCGCTGAATGTGTGCAACACGATGTGTGGTACTTGCTGCATAAAGATACCAAGACTCCAGCTAGCTGTTCAGCCTCTGTGGACACATTCTCCTCCTAAGAGTGCTAGCTGTGTCAGGAGCAGAGGCATTTATCTGGCCTGATTTGCTGCACCAGTTGGGAGAGACTTTCTTAGTTTGGCAATTGTAATGTTGGATCTATTGCAGAGGGATTCTGCTGTAGCCTGTGAAAGGCTGATGTTGTTAGCATCTATCAGATGCACTTGTTTTCTGTATTGGTTATGGCTTTTGTTTCCTTTGATAGCCTATTCTTTTCAAAGGTATAATTTTAAGCCCAGTTCTTTGTTTTGCCCTTTGTAGCAAGTGACCTCTCCTTTGGAAGAAGCTGAGAATTAGATGACCTAGAGTGGAGGTTCTGGACTTGGTTTTTTGGCTTTCCCAATGGTTAGCTTCCCTCCGTGCCCTGGGAATGTGAACAACCTATGCTGTAGGACAGAATGGATGCTCCCTGTGAGCTCCTTCCCTGATGCAGGATCCAGGCCTGCCAGCGGTGGGAAGTGCAGTGGAGTTGGTTGGTGTCTGCAGTTAGCTCAGCCTTTTGTGTGTCACAGCACTGTGGTGAAGGGGCAGATGTCCAACATGTCAGTATGGTAGAGCATGGTGGTTTGTTCTCCAGAGATCTGGAAGTGACAAGAATGCTGGAGACAAGGTCATCCTCTTTCCCCAGGGATATTTCTGCATGAGGTTTCTGTTTCCACAGGCAGAGCCCACGCCAGCCTGACAGAGGCTGAGCAGAGCAAAAGCCCTCACTGTGCCTACTGATCCAGAGCTGCTGCTGCTCCCTGGGCCCAAGTTTTCTGAGTGGTTGTTTTTGTGTTTGATCCCTTGCAGTGGCTCTGCCTGTCTGAAAAAGATCAGAATTCCCTAGTTTCTGGAAAGGAAATTGAAGGAGCAGCCTTTCTGCTCTGCCAGGAAAGCTGAAGCCTTCACTTCCTCCAAACCCTCAAGCTGTGAAAGGAGCTGTCAGCTCCTCAGCTCCAGAACAGGGGCTGGGGACAGGTGACAAAGCACTGCTCTCTGCAGCAGTGGCACTGAGCCTCACCTCTCTGATCAAATACATCACTGCTATAGGCCTGACCCCAAGTCTGTGAGCTAAAAAGTAGGACCTTAATTACCTCCTCTCCAGTTCCATGACTGGTAACAGCCAGTTTGTGAGAAACAAGAGGGTCTCAGCCACACCAGAAGGAGGTGAAGCAGATCTTAAGAACAAACCTTATGATAAAAAGGTGGTGAGCTTGAAGTTGTCTGCTTCATCTTTTAGCTGCTGTTAAAATCCTAGTACTTAGAAAACTCTTATAAAAGGAGGTCTGTTTTGTTTGGTGGCAGTGCCTGCAGAGATTCTCCAGTGTTTTCGGGATTGCTTTAACTGAAGCATAGAGACATTTAGATCTTATCAGTTTTGAGAAGCATAAACTGCTGATTTGTTAAGCAAAAACCTGAGCTTGAAAGTAGGCTTCTCTGTCAGGAGCCATTTTCCTCCAGGCCTTTTATTTGAGCATCCTTGGAGCAAGTAATCACTCGGCTTCTTGTGGCTCACCCAGTACTCTCTGCACCTTGGATAACATGAGAAAAAGGGTGTGCATTTAGATGTTGGAGGCAAGACTTCTAGTATAGTTTACTCCTGCTTCTCCTGCCAGCCAGGCCACCCATTTGGTGCCATTATCCACCCTAAAGCAAAGCAGTGCAGGGTGTGATCTGTTGTGTTCCAGTTGCTGGGTTCAGATGGATTTGTCTTATTTGAATAAGAATAGGGAGGAGGAATAATTCCTCCTTCATGGTTACAGTTTAGTTGTTTTGGCTCTGTTTTTATGCATCTCTGTCACTACAAAGCTGGTGGTTGGGGGTTCCTGACCCTGTCATGGTGCTATGAACAGTTTTCCTTGTTGATCCAGGTTTGCCTTGGAAGGAGCCTTCAAACAAAGTATGTGAGAACACCAGAGGATGGTAAGGGATAAGGAGTTAGCACCTCGCTGGAAATGGCATATTCAGGCTGGCCCCCTTGTCATCTGTCTAGCATCTGCAAGCCAGCTAGATGGGTGTAATGAGGTACCTGGTCCTGACTAGGGAAAGTTTGGGATGGCTGTAGCTTTTCCAGCACAGGTTTTTTGGGAAATATTCAAGACAGTGTTTAACAGAGAGCAGAGGCAGGCAGCCTGTTCGTGCTTTGGTGCATGCAGCCAGCAGTAGGCAGACGAGGTGTGTGTCCCTGTGCAGCCTATGGGGAGCTGGGTCAGAGCACACCTTAGCTTGATTCATGGAGCAGTTGTGCAGAGAGGGAAGATAAGGCAATTTATTAAAGCTTCCACTTAATAAAGGGAAGATTACACCATTGATCTTGTTTTGGGCCTGGATCCAGCCTCAGGGTAGTGGTTCCAAAACCTATTTTAATTACCCCCTCATCAGCTCCTCCTTTTGTACCTTTTAGCCAAGCCATTTTCCCCTTCTGTGTGTGACTGAAACAACAGCTCCGACCCTTTTGAGTGTCCCAGGTGGCAGTAAGCCAAATTAATTCCTGACTCTTTTTGGTGCCTTCCTCACAGGCTTTGAATAAAAGTTATTAAAGCTTCCACTTAATAAAGGGAAGATTACACCATTGATCTTGTTTTGGGCCTGGATCCAGCCTCAGGGTAGTGGTTCCAAAACCTATTTTAATTACCCCCTCATCAGCTCCTCCTTTTGTACCTTTTAGCCAAGCCATTTTCCCCTTCTGTGTGTGACTGAAACAACAGCTCTGACCCTTTTGAGTGTCCCAGGTGGCAGTAAGCCAAATTAATTCCTGACTCTTTTTGGTGCCTTCCTCACAGGCTTTGAATAAAAGTCTTATTTGAAGAAGCTTCTTTTTTTTTTTTTTTTTTTTTTAAGGAGCTTCAGAGTTGTTTTTCTTTTCCCCCAAGGGACAGGCATTCCCTGCCCTTGTGATCAACTGGGGACTGTCTCACTGTCCCTGGATGACAGCTCTGGAGGTCAAAGCTGAAGCAGAGAACTTTGAGCAAGTATCTTTGGTTCCAGCCCTGGAGGCCAATGGGAAAAAGGCCCAGCAGGGCACAGAAGAACTGGAAGAGCTCCTTCAGGTCCAGTCTCCCCCAGAAATCTCCCAAAGGCAGGATGGAGAACTTCCAGACAGTCTGGTGCCTGTGTGTCTGCAGTTCAGAGCCGAGTGAGTCATAGCTGGGTCCTAGTAGCTGTGTGATGTTTACAGCTTCTGTGTGCAGTGTGTGGCCTGGGGGTCCTGCCCCCCAACTCACCAAGGGCTTGCCCCACATCTTTTGGGTCTGATCAGTGAGGAGAAACCTGTGCTTTGTCGCTTGGTCTTCCTTATAAATTGAAACGGGATTGCAACAGTCAGAGAAACAAAGCCTGGGCTGAACAGGCCTGTCTTGGATAGAAAACAGCAGGAGGGGGGAGAGGACCAGCAGAGCAGCTTCAGCCCTTGATGTGAGACAGATTCTGAGCAGCTGTGAAGTACCAAGTGTTTCAGGCTGTGTTTGGTGCTCAAATGTGGGAGAGATCTGTCTGCTTCTTGCACTTACGTGGCGGGGAGGGAAATATCCTTGCTGAGAATCCAAGAGAAGTGGGAGCTGGGCCAGCAGTGAGATAATTTACCTACTGGCTCTTCTGCATCTCCACAACAAATGCCAAAGTCTAATACAATTCAAGGATGCTTTTTTGAACATCGGCCTGGTTCCACCAGTCTGTCCTCACTGGCTAGTCTCAAATAGGCTCAGACAAGTATTCTTGATGGCACAAACACAACGCCAGGCTAGAGCTGTGAAGGCTCAGAGATGTGATTACATGAACAGGCCTCCTGTGCTGCACCCCTGCTTCACACGCTGCCCAGCAGGGCTGGGGCTCGTGTGTTTCACCTTGGATCCCAAACGGATTTGTCCCAGGAGTATAGTAGCACCCACAGGGAAATGGTGCTGGGATGGATGGGAGAGGTGAAAGCAGGTCCATGTCTTCCGGGACTCTGGCTTGCTCAGAGTTTATTGCTGTATATTAAATACTATTTTTGGAGACTGGGGGGGGAAGATGTGGGAGGGGGTGGGATGTTGTGGCTCTGTCCCCAGGCTGATCAGCGGAACACTACTGCAAGTAATGGATAAGTTTTGATTTTTTTTTTTCCCCAAAAAGTGCTCTATTTAAAAAAAAAAAAAAGGGAAAAAATAATCAACAAGACAGAAGTGCTTTCTTCCCTCCTAGCAACAGTGCTGGATGATTAGAAAATGTGAATAATCTTTTGCAAACATCAAAGGTCTCAGCTAAAGAGTTTGTGTGATGGAGATTTCAAGGCAAGGGGCGAAGTACAGCTTGAACCAGTTTGACTGGGGAGAGTGTGAACCTAGGAAATGTGGGATCTCTGCCCCGGTGTTGTTCCCAGTCACATGCAGTGAGGGTGTGCTTGCCTCTGCTACAATGGCTGTTCTGTCACACTTAACAGCTCCTCAGCTAGGGCACTTGAGTGAAGCTGTGTCTGGAAACTTGCTTGCCAAGTGGGGGGTCTTGATTTTTTTCATGGTTTCTATGGAGTTTTTGTGTGTTCAGGGCTTTCCCACTTGAGAAACAGCCAGGTTAGTGAAGCAGTCCCAGAGCAGAGGAAGGATTTGTGCTTTGTGCCAGGAGGCAGTAGCCAGGACTGCCAAGTTGCTGGGCAGGTGACAGTGATGTTTGGATCCCATGGTTGTAGCAGCTTTTAGCATTGGTAAATGGTCCCAGTGCTCCTTAGTGCTGGGATGTGTGGAAGTGACCTGTGCTGCTGGCATTAAGGACATGTCACAGACTACTGTAAGCTGCAGGTCTAAATTGTCTGTAAAGGCTAAACAGTGTGGGGGGAAATCTCCATCAGTACTTGCTGTTGGTACAAAGAGTTTTTCAGGAGGACTTTTTGTTTTAATGTCCATTGCTTTGTGTTATAACAACTTGCAGTGACATTTTTTCTGTTTGTTTTGCAGCAAGCTTGGGCCCTGGGTGAGAAGCACAGATGCCTATTTCTGATTGCATTGGCTTTGCAGGGACTAGTTTGGGGGAAAAGATGGGTGTGGGGGTGGGTTATTTTATTTTTGGTACACAGTAGCGGTTTTATTTTTTAATTTCCCCAGGATGCTTGGTTGAGGGAATGTTCTGAAATCTACTGTCTGGCAGTTTTAACCAGCAGTGTGTTAAAGGAAAATAAACAAAACTATATTGTCACTTGGATGAGGTGGTCCCTCTTTTCTGGCGGTGGAGGAGCCCCCTCTGCCTTCCTGCCCACCCTGCAGGGGCTGCAGCCTGTGCCCAGATGCAGTTCAACATCCCAGTGCTGCTGCAGCCTCTCCCTGCTGCTGCCTGCTTCCCGCACAGCTCTGCTGTTCTCTGGCCGGTTGTTTTGGGTGATTATGTGCAAGTTGAACAGTTCAACATCCTCTTACAGTTGCTGATGTGGACCTCGTTGATGCTTGCTGCTCGGATCAGGAAGACCAGAGATCTTATCTGCCTTGTGAGGTTTTGCAGGCTGCCCCGATTTCAGCTTGAAATGGCATCAAAGGTGGTTGGAAGGGGCTGTAGCTGGAGCCCAGAGAAAGTGGCACCTTCCTCCTTTAGGTGCCTGGTCTTGGGAGACAAGGCATCTTGGACTGCCTGGATCCTTGGTCTTGTCTTTCTGAGGGCACAGGCTAGAGGGACTGAACATGATGCACCATGGAGGATTTGGGAGCACTGGCATGGGCAGGGTTGTTTGAAATAGCACTTGGCTGGCAGTAGCAGGCACATGCTGCTTACAAGCAGCAGCAAACTTTCCTAACCACTACTTTGGATCTGCTTCCAGTCATCTTGAGCTTGTTGAATGTTGGCTGGAGTCTGCAAAGAGGATGTAAATGTTTCTTGTTCTTGCTTGAGTTCCCCAAATGGCTGGAGGTGACTCTTAGCAGCTCTTCAGTGCCTACCACAGGCTGGTGGGATGCCCCTCTTCTGGAAAGAATTATGTCCTTTCCTCGTTGTGATGCTCCCGTGGGACCTCCTCGGTCCCTCCTGCCAGGGTTGGGTTGACACCTGCCACTGTCCCTCTGCTCACAGGGGCCCGGGGTGGGGGTGACAGTGGCACAGCTGGGAGAGCCTGGCAGGGTACAGGTGCTCCTCGGGCAGCCCTCCTCGGGGCACACAGTCCTGGCACTGCCCCTGCCCGGGTCAGGGTCCCAGCTCCCCAGGGATAGCAGTTGGGCTGTTCCCAGGGCAGCAGTGGGGTCTGCACTCCATTGCATCCCCTTGCTGATACCTCGCTGGCTCGTGGCTGCTTCCTGAAAAGTGCTTGTCACCATTCTCTAAAAAGACGAGGGCTCTCTGGGGGGACACCTGCTCTCTGTAATTACCCTGCTGCGCTGGGGGATTCTGGCCGTGATTTAATTAACGGGAGACCCAGGTGCCCCTGCTGCGCAGCGAGGGGCTGATCTCCCGCTGTCCCGGGGGCAGCAGGACGGGAGCTGCGGGGCTGGGTGGGTGGTTTTGTTTGGGTTTCGTGTTTCTTCTTCCCCAGGTGACTCCCAGCGCTCCTGCCCGGCTGCCACCCGCCCGCTGCGTCCATCCCCGGCAGGGCCGG